TCTCTCTCTCTCTCTCTCCCTTGCATGTCCTTTTGCTCTCTTGTTCTCTTGCTCTCTTGCTCTCTTGCTCTCTTGCTCTCTTGCTCTCTTGCTCTCTTGCTCTCTTGCTCTCTCTCGCTCTGTGCCTACCCTTGCTTGCATTGTTGCAGTGTGTTTGCCTCTCTGTTGGTTATTCTTTATCCCAGTTTTGAACTCCGCTGTCAATTAGGGTTTAGGGTTTAGGGCAGGGAAAAGATGAAGGGTGACTGGGGTTCTATGATAGGGCATTTCACCCAGTTATGCCCGCGGCTATTGAAGCTTGGTTAAGTCTCATCGGTTTGCTTTCTTGGTCTAAATTTCATCGTCCTTGCCAGCTATCTAATTGCATTTGAGGAGTTCCCCCGTGAACATCCTTCGTTTTTCCTCCTTTTTTTTGTTTCTTTTGTTTTAAGGGCGACATCCTTGAGATATCATCATCGAACTGACTGTCCCTAGGTAATTCAGAATAATTGTAGTCTGTCACTCAGCTGCTTCCCGTGGAGTTTGAACTCAGCACCTGGTCTGTATTTCCACAGTTCGTTCAGGGGGGGTGTACCAACTGAGCTAGGTCAGTTGGTACCTCCTTCCTTTTTACCTGTGTTCTTGTTTCTCCTTGAGTCAGTCTACGAGGCAACCGTCTGCTAAGTAAGATGCGATTTGATTTGTAGTAGATCACTGTAGATGGGAAAAAAGTTCAAAAAACCCGTCCCGGATCTTATCTTCACTGGCGATGTGTTTGATGGAGTGGAAAGAAAGGTACAAGGGGCCTCTTTGCTTTGGATGTATGTCTGAGTGGTTGAAGGTATCAGTCTTCAAAACTGACATATTACATAATATCGGCGGTTGGAATCCCTCTCCATCTATTCATGTATGTTAATTTACGGATAATGAATTTGGGAAATTGTCCCATCTCAACCGAGTCAACCCCCTTACCCTTGGACTCGAGACTCCTTCTTCCCCAAGTTTATCCCTCTGTTGCGTCCTGTTCTGCATCTGACCTGTTTCCATAAAAGTTCCATCCATTGGATTGGAATGCGTGTGCTTGGCCCACAAGTATTACTTGGCATAAACTTATCTTATTGGGAGTTCGTTTCCATTCCTGTCTTCATCACATGGTCAACGCTTCGTTGTTGTTTTCGTCCCGATTGTCTCCTTCTGTTTTTCGCTGTTGGTGGGCGACTTCACCCGGCTCATACGTTTTCGTTGATAATGTTTGTGTTGGTTAAGCTGTGCAGGATTTCCTATCCTCGGGGTGCAGTGGCAACGCCTGGAGAACCCTGCATTGCGGAACTCGCTTGGTATGAGCGCGAACATGAAGGTAGCTCAACGTTCATGCAGATTGGGATTCTGCATAATTTACCTGACGACATGTTCATGGTCTCATGGGGGGCGCTTTATATCATCTCCTGGATTTCGTATCCAGGTTGTGACAGCTGCTCCCCATGGTTTTCCACACCTTGGCACTGTGCTTGCTAACCTCTGTCCGGCTGTTTGCATCAAACTGACACCTCTCTCCCTCTCTCTCTCTTTATCTCTCTGTGTTGGCATGAAACAGACACATCTCACACACACGAGAGAGGGAGAGAGAGAGAGAGAGAGAGAGAGAGAGAGAGAGAGAGAGAGAGAGAGAGAGAGAGAGAGAGATGTCATATCGCATGGTCAAGTCTTCCGCTGTGTTTTATCTCTCCCTGTGCGGTGTGATACTCCTATCCTCCCTCCT